TTCAGGAAGGCTTTGCATCGTCTCTCTGCATGGGCTCCGGCTGATGGATGCTGCAGTGCTATGATCTGATGATCTGAGGATCTGATGATCTGATGATCTGATGATCTGAGGATCTGATGATCTGATGATCTGATGACCTGATGATCTGAAGATCTGATGATCTGATGATCTGATGATCTGATGATCTGATGATCTGATGTTCTGATGATCTGATGATCTGATGATCTGAAGATCTGATGATCTGATGATCTGAAGATCTGATGATCTGATGATCTGAAGATCTGATGACCTGATGATCTGATGATCTGATGATCTGAAGATCTGATGATCTGATGATCTGAGGATCTGATGATCTGATGGTCTGATGATCTGAAGATCTGATGATCTGAAGATCTGATGATCTGATGGTCTGATGATCTGAAGATCTGATGATCTGAAGATCTGATGATCTGATGATCTGATGATCTGAGGATCTGATGATCTGATGATCTGAAGATCTGATGATCTGATGATCTGATGGTCTGATGATCTGAAGATCTGATGATCTGAAGATCTGATGATCTGATGATCTGATGATCTGATGGTCTGATGGTCTGATGGTCTGATGATCTGATGGTCTGATGATCTGATGATCTGATGGTCTGATGGTCTGATGGTCTGATGATCTGATGGTCTGATGATCTGAAGATCTGATGATCTGATGGTCTGATGGTCTGATGATCTGATGGTCTGATGATCTGAAGATCTGATGATCTGATGATCTGATGACCTGATGGTCTGATGGTCTGATGGTCTGATGGTCTGATGGTCTGATGGTCTGATGGTCTGATGATCTGATGATCTGATGATCTGATGATCTGAGGATCTGATGATCTGAGGATCTGATGATCTGAGGATCTGATGATCTGATGACGTGTTGTGACTCTTTAATTCTGTCCTTCCAGAGCTGAGCGTAGAGAGGAGAAGGCAGAACACTTCAGGTAACTATGTCCTGAAGCTGATGTGAGTGGCGCCTCTTCAGAGAGCTTTACTTACTACGACAGAGAGAACTACACACCTCACACTTTAGATGATTCTGCATGTTCGTGGTGCAGAATAATCAGAATCCTGGTTGAACTCGTCTGTTGAATGTGCTGCACCGTAACAACATGAATGGGTTATAATGTCTTCCAGTTTGTAGAATGATCCATGAGGTTTTGGTGTTTAGGTTTGCTTTGGTACTTTTTACGTGGTGGCATGTGAGACATTTCTAAAGACAGATATGACTAGTATATCACTCATCCACAGAGACCAGTGGTGCGTTCAAGTGCTCTGATCGTTACATTTGCACAACAACCGACAGGGACAAACATGAAGGTGACGAGAAAGACGACGACGACGAACCGACAAGGAACACAAGGGAAAGCATGGCTGCGGTCGAATTGTCAGTTTAGTTTAGGAACCTTCCTAACAGAGTGAAATGACCTGGAAGTTCCTCAGTAGCAGCCATGATAAGAGCCGTTCCAATTCTCTAGAAGATGATAGGAAAGGAGATTTGAAACTTGTTAGTGACTTATCCGACCGGCCCACCTCGGTACAGCAAGTAAATACCGCTAGTAAATTGTCAACAGGGGGGGGGGGGGGGGGGGCTAGTGACTTATCCGTCCGGCCAACATCGTCGGACCGGCTCACTTCAGTACCGTCCCGATGGCCAGTCCGCCACTGCGTGACACAACGGTAGCCCTGCTGATGGACAGGGACACTTGGCCTCCTTGGCGTTGTGAATGAGATGGAGACACATCTTTTTAACCTGTATCTGTAGATCACACTGTAGGGACAGGAGCATCAGTTCATCCTCCATAACGTCATCAATACATGCTAACAAATAATCTCATAACGATGATCAGTTATCTGTGAGTTGGTCACTTCCTGTTTGTCATGTGGCACTTCCTGATTCTCTAATTGCTCTTTGTACGTTTTACAGGAGCTCTCTCTTAGCACCATGTAAATCTAACAGAGCACTTTTTAAAGAAGCTGTAAACTGAACTTTTACGATGTTTATTTTTAGAAAAAGGCAGTTTCATTAAATAAACGTCTTCTTTCATTGCATTTCCTGACGGCAGGGGGATCAGAGAGGATAGAGTTTATTATCTGAGAGCTTCACTAAGGCGTCAGGGTTCACTCTTTACTACTCAAACAGGACTATTTATGAAGTCAACAAATAGACCTTACATTCCAATGTATTGTAGTTTACAGAAAATGTGCATTTTATACGTTATTTTTCAGATTGCATACAAATCAGAACAGCTGTGCTTTCAACGTTATTTAATCAAGAGTTCAAATGTGACTTTAGCTGGAAGTCTTTGTTGACAAGATGTTGATTTGTTAGTCCTTCCAGTCAGGGTCTGAGGTCCTTTCAAGATAAGAGCAGAATAAGGAGCTTTAGTCAAAACCTGGCATTATTTCATATGTTTAAGATATACAGAACATATATACGCTTTCACTCCCAAGGCATTGTTACTCATGTGTGGATATCCCCACAAAGGAGTCTGTGTTTTGACAACATCTGATATTATTTATTAAGTAGCATCACCATGTTTACAGCTGAGAGAGAGAGAGGTGCGTTTATGTTCACTAATGGAGAGTAAATGGTGGTACATCTCAGGAACAACACGCGGTGTGTGTGTGTGTGTGTGTGTGTGTGTGTGTGTGTGTGTGTGTGTGTGTGTGTGTGTGTGTGTGTGTGTGTGTGTGGATAAGAATCAGAGGAAGTTCTGCGGGGAGAGGCTCAGGTCGACCTGCTGGATCTGAACCAGGTTTAAAAAGAAAGCAGAGTTCAGGACATGATGGAGAAAATATTATTGTATCCTAAGTAATATCACACACACACACACACACACACACACACACACACACACATACACACACACACACACACACACACACACACACACACACACACACACACACACACCGCTACACCCCTCAGAAGAGTTAAACTAAGATGTCGGAGGCTTTAATATATGTCTCTGAACTTCAACAACACTCTACTTTACAGCCACATCATGATAGACTGTGTGCGTGTGTGTGTGTGTGTGTGTGTGTGTGTGTGTGTGTGTGTGTGTGTGTGTGTGTGTGTGTGATGGATGAGGTGTCTGGTGTGTGTATTGATAAAGCTGCTAGTGAGACATTTCACATGGTCGTTTTGAGTTTCTAACATTTGTTTTGAGTCGTGACAGATCCTCTTACGTGTCTCTTGTTGTTCAGATAAGGCTCTGCTTGTGTTCCCTCACTGATACAGGGATACATTACAGAGAAGACGTACGGCGTACAGGCCCCCCCGCCTTCATCTGTACATTTACCCAAAGAGAAACACCTTAATCACAAAATGAGGGCAAAAAAACACAAAAGCTATTAGGCTCAAAACAACTCCTAGAAATAGACATGAAAAAACTCCAACGTCACACTGAACAACTGCAAAGAGGAGTTAATGGCTGCATGACTGCAAAGTGACGTAGAACAACTACAAAAAGACACAAAAAGAAACAAAATGACTGCAAAAAAAAGGTAAAAAAAACTTTTAAAAACAAAATAACTTACGTAGTCTAAACCAGTGGTTCTCTGGACCCGTTTCGAGTGGGTCGCGGACCCGTTTCGAGTGGGTCGCGGACCCGTTTCGAGTGGGTCGCGGACCCGTTTCGAGTGGGTCGCGGACCCGTTTCGAGTGGGTCGCGGATGTGTGAGTGAAGGAAAAAAAGTTGAAAAAAAAAATTGGAATATTTTTTTTTTCTTTTGGGGGGAAAAGTCAAACTTTTATTTTGAAGGCCCGATTTTCTAACGCTGTGCATGCAGTCGGCGTTGGACTGGAAGTACCGGAGACCATAAACGGTTTTGAAAACTTCTGTCACGTAGTGATCATCTTCTCAATAAAATAACTTTGCTGATGTTTCTTCGAGTCTTCTGGCCAATCAGAATCAAGATTGTACATTTTTATACATCCATGGGTACAACTTCAGATAAAAATGAACACATAATGAAATATGACCCCCGGTTTGATGACTGACAGGTCACAGAACAATGGGGGCTATCTACCCTCACCCACAATTTAAAGTAAGTCACACAGACTCTCTCCTCTTTGCTCTTCTCTCTGTGAGGAGCAGCAAGCTGTCAGAAC